AGCAAGGATCATGCCACCCCATACTTAGCAAAATGAGATAGAGTTCCCTTGTTTGTGGAGAGCCAATCCTCCACGAGCAAGGGTTTCCATTTGTGTGTGCAATGAGCACAAGACTGTTTATGCATTCATGGGGAATCAACCCTTCACGAGCAAGATTCTCATCCCACTTGCCTGGTATGCACCAGACTTTCAGGAGGAAATGCACGATTATAATGCAACATTGCTTGAAGCATGGAGCAAACCATTGCAGTTTGCAACATGTACGTCAATATCTATTACCATGAAAATATGACCATGAGAAGAATTAACAACATATTCCGTAAATAAAGAAAAGTTCAATGAGGTTCATGCAATATGAACTATTGTATGTAAACACAACCACATTATCATGACTCAGCCTAATCGTGACACTTACTTGTGGTAGGAAAATGACGCAATAGTGGAGATAATAAACAGGGAGAATGTTTTTTGTGGTCAAAGTTTTTGTTTATTATCACCAACAGCACAGAAAGTTGCTATTTCAGAAAGCATATGTAGAAATATTTGGAAACAATGTTTCAATGGAAATGAAATTCCATAAACAGTTAGCTGTTGGTACAAACTTATGGATTCGAGGATGTACAATAAGTAAAAAATTATGACTCGCCGAGCTAATAGAATTGACATCATATTTTGTAAATAAAGAAATGCTCAATGAGTTTCAAGTAATAATTATATACTATGTAAACCCAACCTCATTATCATGAATCAACTTAATCTTTGTAGAGGGAAAATGATCCAATAGTGGGGATAATAGATAAGTAGTAGCATAATTTGTGTCATCAAACTTGTATTTATTATCATCGACAGTAAACAAAGTTACTATGTACTTGATTTCAAAAAGAATGAAAATATTTTCATAAATGGGTAGATGCATGTACAAATTAAACCTATGGACTCAACGACAAACAATAAGAAAAATTATTGACTTGCTGAGCTCGCATATTCTCATCTTGCCATAATCAAGATCCGTGAACGAAATGGGTTCATCGGTTACTTACCACGGCGCAATGTCTGCGGCGCGCACACATCCGGACCTAGCATCTCAACCCCCCTGCGGCCAATCGAGAGGAGTGAGGGCGAGGTGGGGAGAGACATGGAAGCCTGAGCCTGGGGGAGAGCACGCGCTAGGGGACGATGAAGCAGGGGGGCTGGACGGCGAGGGCTAGCCCGCCCATCAGCAGCACCGCCGTCGGGCGGTTGATGCGGCGGGCCAGAGGTGGGTGGGTACGGTGCAATGCTTCTTCCTCCCACTCAACTCAAGTGCTAACTAACAGAATTATTGTTAATTTGGTGACCATCAAGTAGCTCATGCTTAGGATGCGTTCTGTCCTTTGCTATGCCGCCGTGTTAATATATATTCACGAGAGGTTGCAAAAAATCAAGCTAACAGAAGCTCATATCTTCACGAAAGTTTCGCTATCCTTCGATTCTGGATTTTTCTTTTTTTGAGCTGCATATCTGGATGTTTCGTGTGAAATAAAGCACGGACGTCGTCAGACATCACACTAGTGATCTTTTGCATCTATCAGACCGACTCGTCGTCCGATTTGATTAGGACACGGGAGAAATTAGTTACTGCTTCATAACTGATTCCACACCCCTAAGTGAAGCAGACAAGCATCACCTTGGGAGACAGCTACTCATCAACTGTTAGTCAACGTATAATATTACATGGACCAGTAAAAATCCATGAGCAGCAGAATATATATCAAGCAAAGCATCCAACCATCAGATATGCATAAGACCAGACCTGACCAATTGTGCAGGATGTTTCTTAGTTCAGATAACTATAACAGGAATGGTTCTACCTCTAGGACCATACGAAAACCCCTCTAAACTGGATATCACATCCAGCCAACTACTACAACAGAGCTCAAATTAAACACCCACCGGCTGTGCACACACAGACGTCGCATATCAGAATTTCAACCACTTCTTCTCCTTCTCCTTCCTGGCAACCGCGTTGGTGGCCGAGGTGTGCGTCGCCTCGGCGTCGGCGAGCGCCTTCCGCGTCTGCTCCAGCTTCCTCGACGCCGCATCGTGCACCGCCTTGTCCTTGCGGTTGCGCTGCACCATCTCCTCCAGCCGCCCGACCTGGCTCCGCAGCTCCTTCACCTCGTCGTCGTACACAAGCAGAGACCTTCTGTTGTCTTCCTTCTTGGGATGCCCATTGGCCTGACCCGACGGCGACTCTTTCCTGGCTTTGGCGGCCGAGGAGCCTTCCGACGCGTCCTGGCTCACCAGCTGGCTGTTCATGAAGCTGAAGACGGACCTCTCCGCCTCCTCGGCCTTGGCGGCCCTGGCCTGCTCCGCAAACTTCCGGTCGCGCTTCCTTTGCCCGCCCCGGCTGCGCTTCTTGTCTTTCTCACGGTGTATGCTTCGGCCGTCCTCGCCCGTGGTTGCAGCGACCGCGTGGTCGAGTGATTGCTTGGCCGGTAGTACCTTGACTGGGATTGGATCGAGCATGCCTTGGCCGGACACGCCTAGCCCCATGCCCTCCCGGTAACCCATTTTTGCCATCATTTTGGAGGCGACGCCCCTGGTGTGCTGTTCCCATTTTGCAAAGATCACGGTCTCAGACTGAACACCAGTTAAATTTGTGGTTTCCAAACGGCCAAGACCCTGATGGATGGATTCATCCTCTTGATCGCCATCTTCACTTAACTCAGATTCATCCTCACTTGAGCCTCTTTCATCATCTTCCCCGCTCACATCAGCATATTCTGGGATAGAAAGGGAATCACCCGGAAGCGTTGCAGTGCTCCCATCATCTTGAAAGACCACCTGACCACGCTTCAACTCATCATCCCACGACTCAAGTTCAGCTCTCCTCCAAAGGCCAGAATGGTGCCCAGAAGCTGCCAGTATGCTGGATCCTGCCAAGGACTGTCGCCATGCAGTTGGAGTGAACCGTTTCAAGGATGAAGTAGGAATCACAACACCTACAGATAGTTATGAATTAGAAGACATGCATACCACTTAGCATGAAAGGACAAAATCATGCACAAATCTTTACAGTAATGCATAGGAAAACAGGGAGAAGCAAATATTGCATACTGACACAGTATTCACCAAAAAAGCAATATGAATCCATTGAAGGAGCAATTTGTTTTAAAGGGTTCATTGTGAAAACAAATGGACAAGACATGGGAAAAAAGCACAGTCCAAAGGGTTCAATCCTTCAAACAGTGAAAAAAGCATTTACATACCATGGGACAAGCGGCAGTTATTAGCAAACCGACACCGTTGCTGCAGAAAGAACTTGCACATCTGCACTATGGGCAGACTTATATTAGAAAGTCTGGTAATAATAATGATCTTTGTTCTGGGTATTACTACAGTTATATTAAGCAGCCGAAAGTTATGGCTGAAGGAAAGGTAGCTATAGCAACCCACCTGCATAACCTGCTCTAAGAGGGGGTTTTCTGCTTTTGTTGTGTATTTCTGGGTGTCCGTGGGAGCGGGATGGAAACAAACAGAGGGTGCAATACGCTCAGGTTTTATCAAGAGAAAATTATTTTTGAACAGATGGGTTATAATGAGTATATGCGCATTTCACATGGTTCTAGTAACGAAGAGTATAATGTAACATCACTTTGCCTGGTAACAATTCATCAAGTTCCCTGAGGAGATGGGATTTAGAAATCAAACCACATGAACAGCTTTGTAACCCAGCGAGGGTTTATATTGATTATGCATGTCCACATTAGACAATTGTATTCGCAACAGAAGGACTTCTGTTGAGTTTAAAATTCAGATAAAAGGTGGAGACATCCACAATGTATATTTTGTGACAATCAGAACTATTTCCTATAGTTGTTCAGTCGCGCAATAGTCAAAGGCAATTCAACAAAACAACCATACAGGTCCAAGCATTAGTGGGAGTGACACAAGCATATTTGAAGAAGGGAAAGCAGCAAAAAGGAAGACATACTACAAAGTGACCAAGTAATTTCCTACTGGCTGGTGAGCCACTGCCACATAGTTACCAATACCAACCATATCAGCATGCAAGGGGTTAATCTGGTGGTTACCAGGTAACAAGGCTGGTTCAATTCGGAAGACAATCTTTGTGTAAAAGGATATGTCAAGTTGCATGACTCACCGACATTTTTTCTGATGTGGGTGTCAGAAATGAGACCCGTGCATTGCCTGAATCTTCAAGTCCCAGAATGCATCCATTATACCAACGCCCATCATTGTGCCTGAATCTACACTTTGATCCGACTGAAAATTCCTGTGGCTCCAATGGTTCTGGCTCAACATCATCTGGATCTAATGGCTCAATAGCAGCTTCAGTTGATAGTGATGCTGACTCCTGATTTGGAAAGATCTCATCGATTTGCTTCACTAGCCTAGAACGCTTCAAATGCAGAAGCCCTTCCTCTGCATCCTTGATCGCGGACAGAAGTTCCCCGTGCACCTTCAGAGACATAATTTAACTCAGATATAGTACAAGTGCAAATGCAAAATGATGAAACATTGTGATCTGAAATATCTCCCCAAAAGGGGTCCAGAATTTTCTCCAAGGGTCTTTAAGACAAGACATGCACACTTATGTGTGCATATCAGGAATGAGCAAAAAAGGGAGCTACTAATCACTTCCACACTACATGCCTTACATTCTTGCAGCAGTTCTCATCAGTCGTCAATGATCAGTTGAAAGAAATAAGCTAAGATGCAAAATCTACTAAACTCATGCTCTCAATACCGCATGCCAGTATATATAGATGTTGCAATATACAATGCTTAATCTCTTCTACTCCCTCCGTTCCTAAATTTAAGTATTTCTAGAGATTTCAATAAGGACTACATACGGATGTATATGGACATATTTTAGAGTGTAGATTCACTCATTTTGCTCCGTATGTAGTCCTCATTGGAATCTTTAAAAAGACTTATATTTAGGAACCGAGGGGGTAGTTTCTCAGCTTAGCTGCTGTCAATGAGAAAAAAACAGCCAACCCCAACAACTTCCATGGACAAAGTGCATGGAACAATGCCACACATTAAAAAGCAGCACCATTTCTTGTAATCAAACCAAGATACTACCAACTAGTCTCACCTCCCAAAATAGAACATCCCTAACTGAGCAACTGTTGCAACTACTTATCAGCTAATAATCCAGCACATACTGCAGAGTGCCCTAATCCCATCACAAACAGGTAACCCATACTGGCAATCATTCAGGTTCTACTTGTACACCAACAAGCACTAGCTCCCTACTCCCTGCCTCGACGAATCAGGGATGCCCCACAAGAAGTCTGGAATCCCTAGGACCCCTAAGAATCCCCATCCCTACGGAACTAATTAATCAGGACCCGGGAGCAGTTCCAGCAATCTGGGCCGTGCTGCACGTTCAGGGACAGACACGCACAGATGCGTACGCACCTCGAGGAGGTCCCCGTTGGAGGCGTCGGCGGCGAGGGCCTCGTCGACGGCGGCGAGGGAGGACCGCTGCTCCTCCAGGTGCTGCTCCAGCTGCAGCTCGATCTCCGCCGCCTCGTCCTCCTCCCCCTCGCCCGCCATGGCTCACCGGTCCAGGCAGCGGTCGGTCGGGAGAAGAGAAGGGCCGACGATTTCGATGGGTGAACAAGTGCCGGTGCGGCAGCGCCGCTGCGCCGGGAGGACGACGGGTGTGGTGGGCCGGAGCGCCGCGGAGAAAAGTCCACGGGCTGCCAGGCTGGGCTTCAATGGGCTTGGCGGGCCGGGACACTAGGGGCCCATCATCGCTTCGGTCGGTTCGCCGAGAGTGAGAGCGCGCGCGACAGGAACCCGACCTGAGCACGACTCCGTATTGGACCCGAACTCATCGTCGCCGCGCGCCTACTTAGAGAGATGCTTAGAAAAATAAATCGGGTTCTTCTAAAGCACCGGTGTTTATTTGTACAGAATAGACGCTTAACTAAGCGTCTCTCCTGTAGAAATAGGCATCGGTGTTTAAAAAAAGCCTGGTTTATTTCTCTAAGCACCTCCCCCTAAGCATCTCCCATTGTACAAGGCCTTAGCGCGACGCCGGAGCACCGGCCGGTCACCATAAAACCATCAGGCCTTGTACAATGGGAGGTGCTTAGAGGGGTGCTTAGAAAAATAAACCGAGTTTTTCTTAAGCACCGGTGCCTATTTCTACAGGAGAGATGCTTAGTTAAGCGTCTATCTTGTACAAATAAGCACCGGTGCTTAAAGAAAATCTGGTTTATTTCTTTAAGCACCTCTCCTAAGCACCTCCTATATTGTATAAGGCCTCATAAGCTGACACGAAGCTGCCGTCATGGCGACGTCGCCGCTGCCGAGTCTCGTCTTCGAGTACGGCGAGGAGCGGGGCACGAAGCTGCACGCTGCCCCCGACGGCGTGTACCGGGCGTGCGAGATCGGCCCGCTGCTAACCAAGCGGAACTGGGTCACCACGCAGGGCTGGGTGCTGGCCTGGGACCCGGACACCTCCGCCACCTTCCTGTGGGACCCGCAGGATCCGGAGCACGGCCGGGTTGCCCTGCCGTCGTTCGCGCAAGCTCCGCCGGTGGGCTCCGACTGCGCGTTGTCAGGCGATCCCACGGCTCCCGGCGGCTGCACGGTGGTCCTGGCCGAGCCATACGAGAGCACCGTCCTCTGGTACTGCCACACCGGTTCGCCGGCGCCAGAGTGGGTAAGGCATGAGTACGATCTTGGAGGCAAGTTGGTGAGGATTGGGGAACACCGGTCGTGGAACAAGAGGCACGTCTTCGGTCTAGTGCCATCCCGTGACAAGTTTTACTATCCAATCCATCAGAACAAGTGCGGCGTGCTCGAGTTCTCGCCGGAGCCAAGGCTAAGCACCGTGAGAACCAAAGGGGTAAAGCTCACCTTCCATCCGAGCGGCGATGGGTGCGTGAACGCGTACTTCTCCCTCCTCGACCTAGACGGCAAGCTTCACATGGTGTGGATCTTCTTTGCGGGCTTTGATAGACGCACGATCAACGACGTCGCCGTCTACAAGGTGGGTTTTGGCAGATCAAGATGTGTCCGGGTGAACAACATTGGCGGTCGGGCGACACTTGCGACCTCCGGCAGCTTTCACGCAACGTGGTGTCCTGCCAACAAATTTAGGTTGCGCCCTAACACCGTGTATTGGATGAGTCCTTATGATAACTGCTTGCACATGTACGACATCGGAGCAAGCAAGGAGGTGGTGCGTGAGTGTGAAGGTGCTACGGAGCTATCGCGCACGCCGTTCTGGTTGGTTCCCGTGCATCATCCGTGACTAGTTCGGATCAATTTGCCAACTTTAATATTGTGATGATAGTGTTAAAGTATTAGTTGTTGACGAAGTAAGAAAAACTTTAATATTGTGATAATACTGTTCATGGCGTCCAACCTTTCTCTCTCTCAATTCCACATAGCTAAAAGTGTCATGTAAGTAGGCTTATAACCCCTTATTATACTTGCTCCTAAGGAACCAGTGCAGATGAACCTTCACAACTCTCTTTGGTAATAACAATGCTATTAAATTTAATATGTGAATGTTTCCTATTACTAAGTACTCCAAACAATGCTATTAAATTTAATATGTGAGTACATCTCTTGAGTCTTGAGGGAGCTCACAGAAAACCCAAACAAATTTCCAGCTTCATGGAGATCGGCTACTAAAAAAACAGAAATCATGTGTTGGGCTTTCACAAACTCTGTTTTTTTTTCAGAAGTATAAGTAAAGTTTCAAGATTTTGGTTTTCGGTTTTTGGGACAAATATAATGGAAATGCAAATCTGAACTCAGGCAATTGTCCCCAAAATATTAGTCGTGCATATACTACATCAAGATATATGCATGTTGGGAGGTTGTCATGTTTGCAACTTGGATTAAGCTGAGATATAGATGAAATTTAGATACGATGGTTTGTTGGTAGATTCTGATAAATATAATCTACATTCTGATAAAATTGAAGACCATAAGCTAGTTTGCTTTATGTAGGGGGCACTAATAAGAATATGTCATACATAAATTTGGCATGTATGTAAGACATGTCCATATGTGCATGTGGTTATTTCTCCAAGATTCTCTGAAACTTTTGAACATGATTTTTCTTCTAGAAAATTATAGACTCAAACGAAAAGACTTCCCTTGAGGGACTCATCCTTGGATTATTGAATGTTACTTCGAGAAAGAAAAGGAATAGAAAGAGGTCTCCAACTCTCCATACGAACTGTACCTCCTTCATTTGTACTTGATGTGATCAGCTACCTTTTTTGGCAAACTTAAGCCCTCGAGATGGCTTGACTTTATTATTTAGCAACCTAAACAGTGTACAAAGAGGAGTTTCCCCAAGGGAAAGGAGATAACTTCAAAGACCATTTTGAAATTACATCTGGAGGCTTAGAACAACTAGAAGAGGGTCTGCGTATATAAAGGCCTTTTTAGCAAAGAGAATGAGCCAGTAGATTCTTGAGCCTAGGAAAATGCCTGATCCTGAAACAGCTAAAGCAAGAAGCGAGGTTGAAGAAATATGTTAGAATAGGTCGGTTCCTCCGGGGTGTCAGATTTCCAAACAAATTCCTTGCTTCAGCGGCATCGACTAGAGTTCTGCATCAGAGAAGATGGAAATCGAGTTCTAGTTCAAAGCCTTAACAACTAAAGCAACAAGAAGCATACCCCCGCCTGCAAAACCTATTGAACATTTGAGGTTGCCGACTAGACGAATATTGAGTGACTAGTATGCTCATTTTTTAGGAACACTCCAAATGAAGCTTTGTTTGTCGCGGCAACAGGGTTGAATGTTGCATCTACATAAGGCAAAATACTTGCAGGATGTAAAACCAGATTAGTTCTTGGGTGAAATTTTGATGTAAGCTCTGGCCGGGGGTTTGCTATTTTTATATGTATCCTCCATGTAACTGCATTAAGCATTGCTTTGTGGCATAAACAACCTGCATAGGGTTCCAAGTTTTGTTTTTGAAAAGAAGATTATTCCGCTCTAGATTTTCCAGAGTAGACAAAATAGTTGAATGACAATAGAAGGATACAAGTTAGGATCGAAGACATCAATTTTGAAACCAAATCAAACCAAACCGGTCTCACAAAGTGCAATGAAAGAACAAATGTGAATCATTTTCTATATGACCGCACCTACATCATTCTTTTTTTAATATGGGTAAAATACCTCGATGCTCTTAACTTCTTAAGCCTGAAGCTGAAGCCCTTCTAATGAGTCTCCGTGCAAAGGTTTTGACTATAGGAGCAATGGATTTGTTTTTCCAAACTTTGTTAGAATGACAATTTCTTGATCTGTAATAAGCGAGCCTCGCCTTGCCTTGTGGAAGTAGCTTGTGCGTCCTGCATAACGGTTTTGTAAGCACTCTTGGTAGTACAGTATGTATTAGCCATTAGGTGTGAGCCCAACAAATAGTATCATTAAAATAAGCACTGATAACAGTAACATCCAGGATATCATTCTACCGAAAAAGGGTTTCCCCCGCTTTATATTCCAAAGCAACCAACATAATACACATCGCATTGTTGGGGCGAGCAGCACATCAAGCCCAAAAGAAAAAGAAGAAGAAACAAATGCCAACAGCGGCAGCTCGACAAAGCGTGGAAGACCCGCCACCGCTGCGCCCTCCGAAAACAAACCACCACAACCCAAAGCTCCGATCTACCGCGTACTAAGCAGCACCTCCAAGAAGGGATGCGACGCTGATGGCGCTGCTGCTTGGACGAGTCCTATGGTTTCCCAAGTATGCGGAGGGAAGTGGGGGATGGCTACCACCAACACCCTCCAAGAAGGAATAATGGCACCCGCCGGTGTCACTGCATCGGAGCCGGACAAACCGGCAAGGATTTCTCCCGCACTCCAAATCCCACTAGCCAAACCACCACCCAACACCATGCACTATCGCGGTTGCGCCGCCACCCACACCGTCTCACCCGAGCACCAACACGAGGCCAAGAGGACCGAAGAGAAGAGCTAAGCGACGGGAGCAGCAGCACCAAGGTCGAGCGGGAGGGAACCACCTCCACCGCCGTCGTGCGAGAGGCCCGCACCTCCGGCACCATCGTGGGCGCCGTCCGGACACGGCAGCGGGGCATATCAAGCCTGAAACAGGCCTGCTAAGCCGCGCCGGCCATGTTGCAGCAGGCTGGGGTCGGCGCCGCCAGCACCCCGCCGCTCATCGCTGCTCCCACGTCTCCTGGGAGTCACACCACAGACCCGCCCCGCCGCCGACCCACCCAGGCCCATATGGGCCCGTAAGGCCTAGATCTGGGCCGAGCGCCGCTGTGTCACCCCGTCAGCAACGACGGTCGCCGCCCAGCAGCCCGCTCGCACCGTGTCGGGGAACCCCGCCACTAGTTAGCTCGCCACCGCCTAGGAGCACCCCCCGGTGCAGCTCCGCCACCGCGTCGGAGAGCCACCAGGAGGGGAAGGTCAGGGGGCCGCCACCACTAGCGTCCCCAGGGCCAGGCCAGCCGCGGGCGCCAGCAACGGCGGCGGGGAGGAAGGGGAGAGGGAGGCTGGAGGAGGAGGAGGAGGGCGCCGCGTGGCCGGTCGCCCGTGGGGGCGACGCGGTCGCGAGAGGAGAGGAGCCCAGGATATCATTCTTAGAAGACTCATCAAGGAAAGTGCTAATTTGTATCTGCATTCCAAAGTTTGGAATTGAGCTGCCAAAGATCGCTAAGGCCTTGTACAATGGGAGGTGCTTAGAGAGATGCTAAGGGCATGTCCAATGCAACGCTTGGACGGGCGCTTAAAATATAGAAGTAAATAATTTTTTCATCTGGTGGCTTTGTTAGCGCCTCCCGTTCCAATGCAAAGATCGTTCTGATGGGCGCCTATGCTGATTTTTCCTTCTACCGGTACGTCGAATCCTCCACTGACGCCCGGCGACTCAGTAGGCATCGATGCCAGATAAAATCCCAGGATCGGCCGGGATATGACCGTAACGGCTGGGGTATCTATCCTAGCGTGCGCGGACCGGGTTTTTCTAAAGCACGGGTGCCTAGTTAAGCGTCTATCCTGTATAAATAAGCACCGATACTTAAAAAAAGCCTGATTTATTTCTCTAAGCACCCCCTAAGCATCTTCCATTGTTCAAGGCCTAATTATGCTAGGACAGGGCTCTTTAGATTAGGCTCTAAATGATCATGAATATTATTTCAATCCTTGCACCAAGGGCTTGTCTAGATGCAAGTGTTGTCATATTAGCAATTGAAAGTTGACAAGAATCAAGCATAAGAGCAAGAGTTTTAATAACCGATGTCCAAAAAGTAGACATGGGAACAGAGGAGTGGAATTTCCAAATCGAAGTATTATGAAAATATTCGAGTCTCTCATGCCTTTGGTATGTACCTTGACAAAGACTACACGATAAAGGCTGCAAGATAGATTGATCCGCCTTAATGACAACGCTAAAAAGAGCCAAATAGTCCGTTATTTTTTTCTTAAGAAAAAGAACATTTACGTTTTTTAAAAAATTTGTTCACACTATACATAAAAAACATATACACAATCTGAAATTGTTCTCAAGTATAAATACTTAAGCATATAATTTCATGAAGAAGTATGTTTATTTCAGGGCTACACGAAATCGAGTATCGAGCGCCACACGAACCAGAGAGACCGAGCGCCACACGAACCAGACCCAAACACGGCTCCGTATTGCACCAGAATACATCGTCCTACTAGCATAACGCCGCGGCATCGCCCGGTCACCGGAAAACCATCATAAGCTGCCACAGCTCGCGACGCGCGCGAGAGGAATATATCAATCGTCCACGGCGATGTCGCCTCTGCCGTGCCTCGTCCTCAACTACGGCGATAAGCGGCCGATGAAGCTGTACGGTGCCTCCGACGGCGAGTACCAGCCGTGCGAGATCGGCCCGCTGCTAGCCAAGCGGAACTGGGTCACCGCGCAGGGCTGGGTGCTCGCATGGGACCCGGCCACCTCCGCCACCTTCCTGTGGGACCCGCAGGATCCGGAGCACGGCCGGGTTGCGTTACCCTCGATGGCGCAAGCTCCGCCCGTGGGCTCCGACTGCACGCTGTCAGGCGATCCAAGGGCTCCCGGCGGCTGCACGGTGGTCCTGGCCGAGCCATATGAAAGCACCGTTCTATGGTACTGCCACGTTGGTTCGGCGACGCCGGAGTGGGTAAGGCATGAGTATGATCTTGGGGGCAAGTTGGTGAAGATTGGGGGATCTCAGTGGTGGAATAAGGAGCACGTCCACGATCTGACACCGTACGGTGGTAAATTCTACTATACAATCAATAATACTAAGTATGGTGTGCTTGAGTTCTCACCGGAGCCGACGTGGAGCACCGTGAAAACGAAGGGGATCGAACTTACCTACCATCCAAGCGGTGATGGATGTGTGCATTATAAAAGCTTTCTCTTGGACCTCGACGGCAAGCTTCACACGGTGTGGATCTTCTTCGCGGGCTTTGATTTGCACACTGTCAATGACGCCGCCATCTATAAGATGGGTTTTGGTAGATCAAGGTGTGTTAAGGTGAACAACATTGGCGGCCGGGCAATATTTGCGAGCTCAAGTCATGCAGCGTGGTGTCCGGCCAACAAGTTTAGGTTGCGTCCCAACACCTTGTACTGGATGAGCCCTCACGACAAATGCTTACACATGTACAACATTGGATCAAACAAAGAGGTGGTGCAGGAATGCGAAGGTGCCACAGAGCTATCGCGGCTGCCGTTTTGGTTGGTTCCCGTAAATAGTCGATGAACCGATCATATTGCTTTGCCTACTTATTGTAACAATGAAATTAGTGAAGTATTAGTGATTCGTGAATAGTGAAGTAAAAAGAAGGTGGACTATGCAACTATTGTGACATTTTCAATACCCGAGGTGGGCTTGTGATTAATTTAGCCTAAAGATTTCAGCTTTCCTTTATTTTTGAACAGGGTAGTTTATTGTATCAGATATTTTCAAGGGTTTATTCATCCTTGTATGATTGGTCCCGTTCATCAACCATGAACAAATCATATCAATTTGCTAGCTTTATTTTGATAAAATCAATTAAGTATGTATTTATTAATAAAATATAAAATAATGGGCCGATAAATTATATTGCAACATGTTAAGTACTATTGGAGTTTGAATTTTCATTATATAGTTCAATGGTTCCAACTTATTTATTTTCGAAGGGACCAACTGACTGTGTTAAGTATGTTAATTTTTCATCTTCTTTTATCCTTTTATTTAACTGGTTAACAGGTTTATTTGCATTCAAGATGGTATGAGCCATACTAGAACAACCGGAATCCACGTTAACAGAGAACTTGTGAAAGAGATTTATAGCAAAGCAAATAGAGTGAAATATGTGTGCACGTCGGTAATTATGGCTACTAGGAGATGATCTTATGTTAAGGGTCAGCCAAATTTATCTAGTATATGTTATGGGTTTATTCATCTTTACGAATTGAGTTAACATGTTTATTTGTATCCAAATGCTCCAAGTAATAAATAGTTGTATACGACATTTCTGTCGACTACAAGGCACCCGGGATGATCATCACTCTCAAGATTTGTTGGGCTCGTGTCTTGAATTTGCTCATATTTATATGCATATGTGTACGTACTATATGACAGCAACTACATGAATTAATTGCATCACTGCTAAAGAATTCAGTTTCGATTGCATTAATCTCAATTCGGTTGAATGATTTCATCACATTTGTACTAAAAAATTATACCTTCTTAATTTTAATTTTACCATATTACATACTTAATGAGAATATATTTTGTTAACTTAAGTTGCCACATAATAATGTCGCCAATTTTTATTGGTTATGAACTAGTAATTAAGTTGAAAAAATTGGCTTATACTAAATATAAATTGTATTTGTAACAAAAGTTCTCCTTGGATTATATTTTGACATTGTACAACATAACACACACACACACACATTGTGTATATACAAATTGTGTCTTTGTGTGTGTTTTAATGTTATTACATATCATGATTGAGATGCCCAAACCTTGATCTCTCATAAATATCTTAACAGTTGGTTCTAGACTTGTAGTGTATGGTTCTAGAATCTTTGCTTTCACTTAGCTTTATATATGACGATCATAGTACACTGTCGAGCGATACAAGACAGTGAGGAAACCATCAGAGCATATCAAAAGAAATTAGAACAAGCGAAATTGAACAAAAACTAACATGAAAGTGGTGTCGGCCAATAGTACACGATGGTCTGAGCCCACCTCCATAGTCCGACCACTGGTGCCTGAGCTCCACGACAATGCCTTCACGAGGATCATAGTACAAAAGCATTGTTGCTCATGAGTCCGAACAGGCATGACGCCGAACCATGTCCTTGAAGAGATACCTGTGACCACATCCTCAAGTGGAATGCGGCAGCCACATGTGTCATCATCGCTGGCACCAAAGTGTGAAGTTTTCACTCGGACCCTCACCTGACCACCATGAGGCACCTATGTCCTCACCACGACGAAGACTAGGCCACCCGATCCACATCTGGGCATCGCCACTCCCGCAAGAAGAGCAAGGGCCAAGGTCACCCGCCGCTATAGCCCATGCGCCAACACGACCAAGAGGCACAATCACCACCGTCACCATGGAGCCCACCGGAGATCCCACCACCTGAGGCCGCTGCCCCGACTTCTTGTGTCGAACCTCTCACCAACCCCAAAACGCTTAGACACCACCTATCAAGAAGGGAAGCACACACCTCCCACCTAACCCTCCAGTCCCACCACGACAGGAAGACAAAAGGAGACCAAAACCACTGACATGGCTGCCCGACAAAGAAGAACTACACCACGAAGAGGGAGACCCAATCCCGGGTGGAAGGGAACATCCCGTCCCTACATCGACCCCTAGGCACGCGTTGTCGACCAATGATACGTCCATTTTGCATCATGTTTTGCTACTGTTATTTATAATGTTTTTATGCATAATAATGCTTTTGGGAGTAATTCTAATGTCTTTCTCTCATAATATGCAAGGTTTATACAAAGAGGGAGAATACCGGCACCTGGATTTTTGGACCTGAAAAAGCACGCCAGAGCTACCTATTTTGCACAACTCCAAATAAGTTGAACTTCACGGAGATTTTTTATGGAATATTTAAGAATTATTGAAGCAAATAACTACCAGAGGGGGCTACCAGGTGGGCACAACCCACCTGGGCGCGCCAGGGAGCCCAGGCGCGCCCTGGTGGGTTGTGCCCTCCTCGGCCCACCTCCGTTGTCCATCTTCTGGTATATAAGTCATTTTGACCTAGAAAAAAAATCAAGAGATGACTTTCGGGACGAAATGCCGTCGTCTCAAGGCGGAACTTGGGCAGGAGCACTTTTGCCCTTCGGTGGAGCGATTTCGTCGGGAAATCATTGTCATCATCATCACCAACAACTCTCTCATCTTGGGGAGGGCAATCTCCATCAACATCTTCAACAACACCATCTCCTCTCAAATCCTAGTTCATCTCTTGTGTTCATTCTTTGTACCGGAACCTTAGATTGGTGCTTGTGCGTGACTAGTAGTGTTGATTACACCTTGTAGTTGATTACCATATGGTTTATTCGATGGAAGGTTATATCTTTAGATCCATTATGCTATTTAATACTCCTTTGATATTGAGCATGATTATCATTTGTGAGTAGTTACTTTTATTCTTGAGGTCACAGGAGAAATCTAGTTGCAAGTAATCATGTGAACTTGATATGTGTTCGATATTTTGATGATATGTATGTTGTGATTCTCTTAGTGGTTTCATGTGTATGTCGACTACATGACACTTCACCTTATTAGGGCCTAAGATAATGCATTACGGAGTAGTTATTAGATGATGGGTTGCGAGAGTGACAAAAACTTAAAACCTAGTTTATGCGCTACTTCGTAAGGGACTGATTTGGATCCATAAGTTTAATGATATGGTTAGATTTTATCTTAATACTTTTCTCGTAGTTGTAGATGCTTGCGAGGGGGTTAATCATAAGTAGGAGGTTTGTTCAAGTAAGAACATCACCTAAGCACCGGTCCACCCACATACCAAATTATCAAAGTAGCAAACAGGAATCGAATCAACATGATGAAAGTGACTAGATGAAATTCCCGTGTACCCTCAAGAACGCTTTGCTTATTATAAGAAACCGTTTTGGCCTATCATTTGCCTCAAAAAGATTTACCTTGCTGCACTTTTGTTACCATTACTGTTACTTGCTCGTTATAAATTATATTGCTATCAAACTACTTGTTATTTATAATTTCAGTGCTTGCAGAGAATACCATGCTGAAAACCACTTGTCGTTTCCTTCTACTCCTCGTTGGGTTTGACATTCTTACTTATCAAAAGGACTATGATTGATCCCCTATACTTGTGGGTCATCAACCAACTGCCGACACGCAACACTGAAGAGGGCATCAACCGGCGCCCCTCGTAGATCTTTCCACTCCAGATCTAGGCAGGGGGCACCCAAGCAGTACGCAACTCTAGCCGCCCGGGCGGCGACGGTGCCGGTCATTGCCGCCTCCCATGTCGCGCCCGCCTCCGTCGCCACCTAACATGAGCAACTCATCCAGGCACCATCCAGAAGTCGGCACGCCTGTGGAGAGGGGGCCGCACCGACCGCCTGCAGATGCTTGAGCTTGATGAAACGAGACAGCCAGGACATTGTCGCCGCCATGAGACCATGGCCACGGCGTCGCCTCCGCTGCCCGAGCCACGAATGCAAAGGTCGCTCACAGCCAGCCGGCCGGCTGATCCGGGCGGGATCCAACCCAAATCGACATATTCCAACATTGTTTTCATTGTGCAGCACGCCAAAATCACTAATTGAGGAGTACTCATTGCAAAGATCACTCCGACCATCCCAGGTTGCGACAAAAGTGGCGCGCTGCATGTGCGCCACTTGTCGGAACCTGAGAGTTTTCTCTTTTTTCATAGATCTGTTTATTTAAAACGTTTTATCTCTTAAACCGTGCGTCCAAATCTCGAACCGTTTGCGTCGAGATCTTCAAAACTAGATCCCATGTTGATAGGTTTTGATGAACTTTTTTTCATGAAAAAAATCGGATGAAAAAACTGAACCAGGAGCACGGGTTTTTTCCCTTTCTGAAAGAGGCACACCCGTGCCTCTCGTGAAATCACAACCGTGTGCCTCTCCCGGAAGCAAAATCGTGCCTCTCGCGGAAGCAAAACCGTGCCTCTTGCGAAAAAAAAGAGAAAACACGTTTTTTTCATTTCCGAGAGGCACGACCGTGAATCTCGCGAAGGCACAACCGTGCCTTAAGCAAAACCGTGACTCTCACGAAAAAAAGAGAAAACACGTTTTTTTTCGTTTCCACGGTCGTGACACTCGCGAAAGCAGAACCGTGCCTCTCCGGAAGCAAAACCGTGACTCTCGTGGAAGAAAAAAAACAGAAAACACTTTTTTTCGCTTCTGAGAGGCACTGCCATGACTCCCGCGAAAGCACAACCGTGCCTCTCGCGGAAGCAAAACAGTGACTCTCGCGGAAGAAAAAAAACAGAAAACATATTTTTTTTCGTTTCCGAGAGGCATGCCCGTGACTCTCGCGGGAGCAAAACCGTGACTCGCTCGAAAGAAATAAAAAAACACGTTTTTTCGCGCAATTTTTTTCCGAATTTTTGGGTGCAAATGTTAAGGAAGACCGGTTGAAAACCAAAACGTCGAAAAAACAAAAAAAACCATTTAAAAGGACGAAAACGCGTGCGAAAAAAAAATCCGGAGAGAAC